ACGGACATTGTTTTCGGGATCAGTTGGTAAATTGATGCTAATTGCCACCTGTGAGTTAGCATCGACCAGGTCGGTGGCTGGGACACTATTGGGATCAAGAGGAGGCACATCATTACTAGGCATCACGTTATTTTTTTCGCCGTGATGGCCTAACTCAGTGTCAATATTCGAGTGAGCAGACTGAGAGTTTGACATCCTTAGACTATCCTGGAATCAAAATTTCAAAGAACAGGCGCAAAATAGGGTCTGTTATAGATATTCGTATCAAATCACCACTATTATCCTTAACAATACGGTGGCGCCAAACTATTTACCCCAAAAATGAGTAACAATTAAATTTGTATGTGGTTTAAAGGATACGTGTATTAATTCTATACAAATAATTAAGAACAACAAGTAAATGAGTTAAAGGCAAAATAAATGATCAAACCAATCGTAATGTAATGACCAAGCCTGATCTTAGATTGAACAGTAGAATTCATCCTCAATTGGACCCTCGATACAAGCTCGGTCGCGAGTGAAGAAAAGAATAAATGAATAATGCCTTAAACAGTAGCTAGAAGACAAAAGTAAACTTTTATTGCTTTGATTTGCATGTCACAATGTGTCAAAATATAGAAAACCTTTGTAAATGTTGATCTACAATTGATACTGAACGGGATTCATGCCGTAATATTCGGTTGAGGACGAATATTACAGCCTCCTGCTCATCATGCATAATCGTTCATTGCGTCCCCCGAGGTCTAGAAGCTATACTTGGCTCGGGTCCGTCATTTCACAGTGTTCGATCTCAGATACATCGTTCATTCCTCTCGAGTTTCGATATAAGGGGCTCCTGGCCTCGATTATAATCACTTCGAGTCGTGCTTACCTTTTGTTCCTTCATCGAGGAATCGGAAAAAACTTTGCCCCCAATTTTACCCGTACACAACCTTTTTCCACGAGCCACCGCATAATACTCTGTATTTTTCATTCTCGATTTTTTAAATCTATATAGTATGAGGTATAATATTGTAATTATTATGNTGGAAAACAAATAAAAATGTTCACAAACGCTAATTCAAAGAAGAATAATGAACCAACAATGATCGTATTTGCTTCTTATGTACTTATGCAGCAACATAAACTTGTCAAATTATTTGTACCATTGTCTAGAAGAATGTTTCAATTCGTACAATGATTTTTCAAGTTTGCACACCATATTTTCCTTTCTAACAACTTTGAATCCTTCTGGCTGAGTTATATAGATTTTCTCTTCCTAGTCTCCATGTAAAATGAAGTTTTTACATCTAACTGAACTAGTTCCAAATTCAACTGTGCTACCAAAGCCAACAAAACTCTAATGGAGGAGTATTTTACGACTGGAGAAAACACCTCATTAAAATCAATTCCCTCCTTTTGAGCATACCTTTTGGCCACCAATCTTGCTTTGTAGCGAACATCTTCTTGGTTAGGAAATCTTTCTTTCTTTGCAAATACCCATTTGCACCCAATTGCTTTCTTGCCCTTCGGGAGATTGACCAATTTCCATGTACTATTCTATTCTGATGAAGGGACTGCATTTCTTCATTCATGGCAATCCTTCACTTATCTTCTTCTGCACTTTGGACTACGTCTTTATCAGTGGTAGGAACACCATCAGTTGCACAAGCCACCATCTCTATGAGACGAACAGGTTTCTTTATTGTTCTTTTTGGCTTGCATGTTGCTATTGATTCAAGTTGTTGTTGGGGTTCCTAAGTTGGAATCTCCCCTTCCACTGACCTTTCTTCTAGGGAAAAATCTTCTATTGTTTTCTCGTGTTCTCCCTGTGTTGGAAAAATTAATTTTCCCTCAAACTCCACTTGCTTTGAAGCACCATCAGTTTGTTTGACAACCTCAACTGTCACCTTATCTGTTATGGAAAATTCATTAAAGGTAACATCTCTGCTGAATATAATTTTTCTTGTCTCTAGACACTATAATCGGTCTCCAGAAGTAATCCCCATAAATATAGCTTTCTTTGCTCTCAGATCCAATTTTGACTCTTTCACATGATAGTATGTAATTGAGCCAAACACATGCAAAAAATTATAATATTCAGCAGGTTTTCCATACCATTTTTCAAATGGTGTCTTTCCACCAATAGCGGCAGATGGTAGACGATTAATGAGGTGGCATGCGTATGTTATTACCTCAGCCCAAAATTCTTTGCCCAACCCAGCATTGGACAACATACACTGAACCTTCTCCAGCAAAGTCCGGTTCATACGTTCTGCCACTCCATTCTGTTATGGTATATTTCTGACGGTGAAATATCTCCAAATGCCATCATATTCACAAATCTTATTGTAAAGATCATTTTTGTATTCTCTACAGTTATCTGTGCGAAGACACTTTATCTTTCTGACTGTTTGAGTCTCTATCATCGCCTTCTATTTGAGAAATATTTCCAGCACCTTATCTTTGGTTTACATAGTATACACCCACACTCTCCGGGAAAAGTCATCAATAAAGGTTACAAAATAGTATTTTCCAACTAATGAAGGTGTTTTGGAAGATCCCCAAGCATCATAGTGAACATAATCCAAAATACCTTTAGTATTATGGATAGTTGTTCCAAATTTAACCCTTGTTTGTTTTCTCTTGACACAATGCTCACAAAACTCCAAATTTCAAGTCTTTACTCCTTTTAACAATCCTTGATCTGATAAAATTTTCAAGGATTTTCCTCCATCATGTCCCACGCACATGTGCCATAGCTTGGTTGCTTCTGCCTCCTTGTCATCACTGGATGTCATTGTTGTTGTCCCAATAATTGTACTATCGTGATAGTGGTACATGTTATTATTTCGCCGAATTTCCTTCATTACCACTAGTGCACCGGAACATATTCTCATTATCCCAATTTCTGCAACGACTATGAACCCCTTTGACTCTAGGGCTCCTACATAAATAAGATTTTTCTTCAATTCTTTTACGTATCGAACATCTGTTAATGTTCTGATCAATCCATCATGATTTCTTAATCGGATTTAACCAGTATCATATGTGGTAAGAGGATTGTTATTTGCAGTGTAAATAACTCCACATTCTCCTTTTTGAAAATTAACGAACCAGTCTTGGTTGGGACACATATGATAGCTACAAGCTGAATCCATCAACCATATGTCACATGGTTTGAATGGCTCAGTTATAACTAGTGAAAAATCAAAGTCGTCACAATCAGCTACATTTGAATCCATGATAGCCTTCCCATTGTTAGGTTTGGCCTTGTTTTTCAACTTTGGACAGTCTTTCTTCCAGTGTCCCTTTTCTCGGCAAAAGGCACATTCATTTTTGTTGGGTCTGGATCTTGACTTGGATCTTCCTTTCTTCGTTCTCATATGATTTTGAGAACGACCTCTTATGACCGGCGCTTCTCTTTCTCCACTCTTTTATTTTTCTCTCTTTCTTTGTTCATAGCTGTACTAGGCAGAACAAAATTTTTTGAGAGATACTTAATCATTCCCAAGAAGTAGAGTAGTTTTGAGGTGCTTGTGCTCATCGAGAAGTGAACTTTATAACATTAAGGCCATATCTCCATCATTAAAAGTCACGTCCATATTCTGCAAATCTGTCATCAACTTATTAAAGCTGGTGAAATGATCATTCATTGCAGTATCAGGAACATATGTGAAGCGTAACAGTCTTTTTTTCATGTAAAGTTTATTTTGACTATTTTTCTTCAAGAATTTATCCTCCAATGTATTCCACAATTTACTTGCAGAAGTTTTTTTTGTGTATGGATACTTCTGTTCTCTTGCGAGGTAAGATCAAATGGTACCACAAGCAACGCGGTTGATAATCTTCCAATCTTCTTCTCCGATATTGTCTGGTTTCTTTTCATCTATGGTAATATCTAGACCTTGTTGAAAAAGGACATCAAGAACCTCAGCTTGCCACATCCCAAAATGTCCTGACCAGTCAAAAATTTTAACTGCAAATTTTGCATTTGACATAATTCTTATCATAAGCGATGTTACCAATGACGTATTACTGACACTCGATGTGGACTCTTTATTTTTCTTGTCTCCTATTTTTACTATAGATACTATTTATTTGCTGACACTACAGAACACCAAAATAATTCTTTTCTGATGTGGAAGTTCAGACTATGCTGCAACTACAGAGCATACTCAGATAGAACCTTGGCTCTGATACCAATTATTGCGGAAGCCGAATTATAGAGAGTGATTAAATCATAACTACTATATCTAAAGGTAGCTAATAAATAGTAAGTGAGACAATAATAAAAATAACACCAGAAATTAATGAGGTTTGGTAAAATTTGATTTTTGCCTAGTCCTCGAACACAATAAACTCAAACTTTATTTCACTCCAAAACTACAAGAGGGAAAGAAGATTCAAATGCCTTAGGAGATAAGAAGGCAAGTGAGAGATGTTTTATAAATGAACAAAATTCTTGCTATTTATATAAGGAAAATGGCCTTAATAATGTCATGCATGATATCACATTAAGTGTGATCATGCAATATAAATGCATGAAAACATGCATCTACCAATATTTTTCTAAAAGGAGGTTTCAAATGTTCACACTAGTTCACATTAATCTTGTAAAATTCAACAGTTATGACATAAGTGGAAATTCAAAAATCATCATATAACACTGTATACTCGTATCAAACACGGAAGTTCGAATTTTCATCTATTCAGCTGAATCAAAATTCAGCAAATACATAGAAAGAAAGAAGTAGAAAGATACATTTAACTTTGAATACCTTAATCTTTTTTTTTTGTTTACACGATGATCCTATCTATATTTTTGTGATACGCCAAGAAGTACCCACATAATATAACTATTGTTTTATAGGAAGAACTTATTCATATGGCTTTATAGGCAGATAAATTTTAGACATAGTTAATACTAATCAAAAGAAATTAAAGATGCAACATATTATAACTCCTTTCCAGTGTAGTCAAAGGGGGATTTAAGCGCAAAGTGCAATTGAAGTGTGAGATTTAGTTGAAAAAGGCACAACGAAGAAGAAAAAAAAAATATGTAATACAAAAAAAATGACAATTTCATTCACAATGATTTCTTCAACAATTGAGATTTCTTTTTGCCAATTACATTTATTTGTTTTGCATCGCTTTATTCAAACATAGGCAATAAGGCGCACACCTTAGTGCCTTGCCTATAGTGAAGCGCAACCTACATGAGGCGAAGTGCATTCCCTGAGCGTTTTTGACCTTCAGCGCTTAAGCGCGACTCAAATAAGGCTTGGACAACACTGCTCCTTCCAAACAAAAAATTAGATGTATTGTTGTTTAGTCAGACAATAAAAACGGAAGCACATCTTTGTAATTGACAAAGAATACTTTTAATGATTTCAATAATTTCAGACTATAAGAACTGATTTTGTCTCTTGCTAGGTTCATGCGAGTAAATACTTACCGTTTGCACACAATATTTATATTTCTCCAATGCAAAATAGTAAGTAATTGTGAGAAAAGAAAAAGACGCAAATCAAACTCCTGTTGCCTGCACTGCAACAGAAGTTCGTCGCACGAAAATAATGCCTACTATCGCAACAATTTTAGTATTCTACAAGAGAATCTAAACCAGAGTATAGTCATACTACTTTTACTGTGTTTTCTATACCAGAAAGAGAAGCAAATACCAAAAGAGACTTACTCAATATCCAAGATGTACACAATTAAAGCTGCTTACAACACGCCTAACTACACAATGGACCTGCGATGAGGATAATCCCAGAAAGCTATATCCAAAAACTCTACTCTTTTGAAACATTTGTCTCCTTTGTATAAAATTGCAGATCAAAAGAGAGATTATTGATGAGGGAAAAAACTTTGATTAAACAAGCAAAATTCAGCAACTTTCAACTGCAAAGAACTGCAAGGAAAACACAGTAAAGCTTAAGAGGAATTTTATCAAACACTTACAGGACAAAAGGAGGGTAAAGAAGAACAAGACAGAACTTGGTACTAAACAAAAGCAAAGTAAAGAAATGCAGCAGAGATAGAATTGAGTTGTAAGAAGCGATGCTTTTTACGCGGCAAATTAGGGTGAACGTGTCATCAGCACAAGAAATGACAAAAATGCCCTCATTATGAANCGACGATCCTATCTCTATTTTTGTGATGCACCAAGAAGTACCCACATAATATAACTATTTTTTTATAGGTAGAACTTATAGATATGCCTTTATAGGCATATAAGTTTTAGACATAGCTAACACTAATCAAAAGAAATTAAAGATGCAACATAATATAACTCCTTCCCAGTGTAGTCAAAGGGGGCTTTAAGCGCAAAGTGCAATTGAAGTGTGGGCTTTAGTTGAAAAAGGCGCAACAAAGAAAAAAATAAAAATATATATGTAATGCAAGAAAAAAATGACAATTTCATTCATAGTGATTTCCTCAACAATTGAGATTTCTTTTTGCCAATTACATTTATTTATTTTGCACCGCTTTATTCAAACATAGGCAATGAGGCACACACCTTAGTGCATTGCCTATAATGAAGCGCAACCTAAGTGAGGCGAAGCGCATACCCTGAGCGTTTTTGAGTTTCAGGGCTTAAGCGCGCCTCAAATGAGGCTTGGACAATACTGCTCCTTCCAAACAAAAAATTAGACGTGTTGTTGTTTAGTCAGACAATAACAACGGAAGCTCATCTTTGTAATTGACAAAGAATACTTTTAATGATTTAAAAAATTTCAGACTATAAGAACTGATTTTATCTCTTGCTACGTTCATGCGGGTAAATACTTACCGTTTGCACACAATATTTATATTTCTCCAATGCAAAACATGAAGTAATTGTGAGAAAAGAAAAATACGCAAATCAAACTCATGTTGCCTGCACTGCAACAGAAGTTCGTCGCACGAAAATAATGCCTACTATCGCAACAATTTTAGTATTCTACAAGAGAATCTAAACCAGAGTATAGTGATACTACTTTTACTGTGTTTTCTATACCAGAAAGAGAAGCAAATACCAAAAGAGACTTACTCAATATCCAAGATGTACACAATTAAAGCTGCTTACAACACGCCTAACTACACAATGGCCCTGCGATGAGGATAATCCCAGAAAGCTATATCCAAAAACTCTACTCTTTTGAAAAATTTGTCTCCTTTGAATAAAATTGCAGATCAAAAGAGAGATTATTGATGAGGGAAAAAACTTTGATTAAACAAGCAAAATTCAGCAACTTTCAACTGCAAAGAACTGCAAGGAAAACACAGTAAAGCTTAAGAGGAATTTTATCAAACACTTACAGGACAAAAGGAGGGTAAAGAAGAACAAGACAGAACTTGGTACTAAACAAAAGCAAAGTAAAGAAATGCAGCAGAGATAGAATTGAGTTGTAAGAAGCGATGATTTTTACGCGGCAAATTAGGGTGAACGTGTCATCAGCACAAGAAATGACAAAAATGCCCTCATTATGAAGCAATAGTACCCTTTTCATTGTTTATGATACTTTCTTCATTCCCTCTAGGTTTGTTAATGTACTGTCAATTTCCAATGTTGTATAACATTCTAGTAATTGATATATTAAACTTCACACGAACTGCAACGGTCAAACATTATAGTTACACAATCAAGGATTTGATGGCAAGACTAATATAGTTCCATATTGAAAGCAAAGTGATACAATAAGCAAAAAGTATTTTTTGTACTATGTAGCCATGAAAGGGCTCTTTCCTGCATAATATGTGCAAAGAGAGATCAGGAACCAAACAATCTGCTAAGTTTTCTTCACCATAAGTATGTAGTGTCCAATCCGATCCATCTGCAAACATGTTATGACATAAATGGAAATTCAAAAATTTTCATATAACACTGTATACTCGTATCAAACACGGAAGTTCGGTTTTTCATCTATTCAGCTGAATCAAAATTCAGCAAATTCATAGAAAGAAAGAAGCAGAAAGATACATTTAGCTCTTAATACCTTAATCTTTTTTTTGTTGACATGACGATCCTATCTCTATTTTTGTGATGCGCCAAGAAGTTCCCACATAATATAACTATTTTTTTATAGGTAGAACTTATAGATATGCCTTTATAGGTATATAAGTTTTAGACATAGCTAACACTAATCAAAAGAAATTAAAGATGCAACATAATATAACTCCTTCCCAGTGTAGTCAAAGGGGGCTTTAAGCGCAAAGTGCAATTGAAGTGTGGGCTTTAGTTGAAAAAGGCGCAACAAAGAAAAAAATAAAAATATATATGTAATGCAAGAAAAAAATGACAATTTCATTCATAGTGATTTCCTCAACAATTGAGATTTCTTTTTGCCAATTATATTTATTTATTTTGCACCGTTTTATTCAAACATAGGCAATGAGGCGCACACCTTAGTGCATTGCCTATAATGAAGCGCAACCTAAGTGAGGCGAAGCGCATACCCTGAGCGTTTTTGAGTTTCAGGGCTTAAGCGCGCCTCAAATGAGGCTTGGACAACTCTGCTCCTTCCAAACAAAAAATTAGACGTGTTGTTGTTTAGTCAGACAATAACAACGGAAGCTCATCTTTGTAATTGACAAAGAATACTTTTAATGATTTCAAAAATTTCAGACTATAAGAACTGATTTTATCTCTTGCTAGGTTCATGCGGGTAAATACTTACCGTTTGCACACAATATTTATATTTCTCCAATGCAAAACATGAAGTAATTGTAAGAAAAGAAAAAGACGCAAATCAAACTCATGTTGCCTGCACTGCAATAGAAGTTCGTCGCACGAAAATAATGCCTATTATCGCAACAATTTTAGTATTCTACAAGAGAATCTAAACCAGAGTATAGTCATACTACTTTTACTGTGTTTTCTATACCAGAAAGAGAAGCAAATACCAAAAGAGACTTACTCAATATCCAAGATGTACACAATTAAAGCTGCTTACAACACGCCTAACTACACAATGGACCTGCGATGAGGATAATCCCAGAAAGCTATATCCAAAAACTCTACTCTTTTGAAACATTTGTCTCCTTTGTATAAAATTGCAGATCAAAAGAGAGATTATTGATGAGGGAAAAAACTTTGATTAAACAAGCAAAATTCAGCAACTTTCAACTGCAAAGAACTGCAAGGAAAACACAGTAAAGCTTAAGAGGAATTTTATCAAACACTTACAGGACAAAAGGAGGGTAAAGAAGAACAAGACAGAACTTGGTACTAAACAAAAGCAAAGCAAAGAAATGCAGCAGAGATAGAATTGAGTTGTAAGAAGCGATGCTTTTTACGCGGCAAATTAGGGTGAACGTGTCATCAGCACAAGAAATGACAAAAATGCCCTCATTATGAAGCAATAGTACCCTTTTCATTATTTATGATACTTTCTTCATTCCCTCTAGGTTTGTTAATGTACTGTCAATTTCCAATGTTGTATAACATTCTAGTAATTGATATATTAAACTTCACACGAACTGCAACGGTCAAACATTATAGTTACACAATCAAGGATTTGATGGCAAGACTAATATAGTTCCATATTGAAAGCAAAGTGATACAATAAGCAAAAAGTATTTTTTGTACTATGTAGCCATGAAAGGGCTCTTTCCTGCATAATATGTGCAAAGAGAGATCAGGAACCAAACAATCTGCTAAGTTTTCTTCACCATAAGTATGTAGTGTCCAATCCGATCCATCTGCAAACATGTTATGACATAAATGGAAATTCAAAAATTTTCATATAACACTGTATACTCGTATCAAACACGGAAGTTCGGTTTTTCATCTATTCAGCTGAATCAAAATTCAGCAAATTCATAGAAAGAAAGAAGCAGAAAGATACATTTAGCTCTTAATACCTTAAGCTTTTTTTTGTTGACACGACGATCCTATCTATATTTTTGTGATGCGCCAAGAAGTACCCACATAATATAACTATTTTTTATAGGAAGAACTTATAGATATACCTTTATAGGCAGATAAGTTTTAGACATAGTTAACACTAATAAGAAGAAATTAAAGATGCAACATATTATAACTCCTCCCTAGTGTAGTCAAAGGGGGCTTTAAACGCAAAGTGCAATTGAAGTGTGGGCTTTAGTTGAAAAAGGCGCAATAAAGAAAAAAATAAAAATATATATGTAATGCAAGAAAAAAATGATAATTTCATTCATAATAATTTCCTCAACAATTGAGATTTCTTTTTGCCAATTACATTTATTTGTTTTGCACCACTTTATTCAAGCATAGGCAATGAGGCGCACACCTTAGTGCATTGCCTATACTGAAGCGCAACCTAAGTGAGGCGAAGCGTATACCCTGAGCTTTTTTGAACTTTAGGGCTTAAGGGCGCCTCAAATGAGGCTTGAACAACACTGATCCTTCCAAACAAAAAAGTATACGTGTTATTGTTTAGTCAGACAATAACAACGGAAGCTCATCTTTGTAATTGACAAAGAATACTTTTAATGATTTCTACAATTTTAGACTATAAGAACTGATTTCGTTTTTTGCTAGGTTCCTGCGGGTAAATACTTACCGTTTGCACACAATATTTATATTTCTCCAATGCAAAACAGGAAGTAATTGTGGGAAAAGAAAAAGACACAAATCAAACTCCTGCTGCCTGCACTGCAACAGAAGTTCGACGCACAAAAATAATGCTTACTATCGCAACAATTTTAGTATTCTACAGGAGAATCTAAACCAGAGTATAGTCATGCTACTTTTACTGTGTTTTCTATATCAGAAGGAGAAACAAATACCAAAAGAGACTTACTCAATATCCAAGATGTACACAATTAAAGTTGCTTACAACACGCCTAACTACACAATGGACCTGCGATGAGGATAATCCCAGAAAGCTATATTCAAAAACTCTACTCTTTTAAAAAATTTGTCACCTTTGTATAAAATTGCAAATCAAAAGAGAGATTATTGATGAGGGAAAAAACCTTGATTAAACAAGCAAAAATTCAGCAGCTTTCAACAGCTAAGAACTGCAAGGAAAATATAGTAAAGCTGAAGAAGAATTTTATCAAACACTTACAGGACAAAAGGAGGATAAAGAAGAACTAGACAGAACTTGGTACTGAACAAAAGCAAAGCAAAGAAATGCAATAGAGATAGAATTGAGTTGTAAGAAGCAATGCTTTCTACATGTGGCAAATTAGGGTGAATGTGTCATCAGCACACGAAATGACAAAAATGCCCTCATGATGAAGCAAACATGTTGACCATCACATGCCTACTTATCCTCTCTTATATATTAGTAGTAGAAATATAGTTTTCGGAAAATTAAAACCGTATAAAAAGGCTGACATAGGAAAATTCCTCGATCAAACTAGCCAAAAGTATAAATAAACAAGTAATCCAGATTCAACACTTTGTTCAACTCTCTACCATTAAGTCATTCACTTGTGGGGACCAAAAAGGGGAACGGGAATGGGAAAAAGTCACAAGAGATGAAATTAGTGTTTGTATTAAACAAGTTGTTCAAGGAAAAAGAGGGAAGGAGTTTAAGAGAAATGCTCTTAAGTGGAAGGATTAACCAAACGATCAATATCTGAAGGTTGAAGTTCTCGTAAGAATATTGAAAAATTTATTTCGAAAGTCACATCTAATATTGATCAGGCTTAAACATGGTCTGAACCAATTACAATAATAGAAGTTTACCAGTTTAGCCATCGGTTGATTCCCTCTAATATATTTGGTTTGGTTGTATAGTTAAAGCTTTTAAGTAACTTTGGTCCAACTATGTACATGTTGCATTTGTTTGAGCTCTAGAATAAGCAATTTTAGCTTATCTCACTGCATAATGCTTACTTGATCCGTAAAAGGAGAAACATAGAAATGGTGATTGAGTTGGTATATTTTTGTAACCTTGTGAAGTAAGACGAGTGACTCGATGACATTTCTCGATTCACAAGATAATATTTAAACAAAACTGAGAGAATAATATATACATTAAACTCGCAGTAAAGACTAGTATCATACCTTTGGTTATATTCTGTATCATGTTGACTAACATGAAAAGGGGCTTTTCTAAAATCAAGTGCAAGAAGTCATATTTCACCGCACTGTCACGACCCAAAATCCAACTCGTCGTAATGGCGCCTAACACATTTGCTAGGAATGCCGGATATAACCATAAAGAACCATAAAAGCAGGATTTTCAGAATTAACATAAGTATGAAACCTTAACATAACATAATTATGCCATAACAAAATAAATTTCCCAGAACTGGTAACTACAGAGTCATGAGTTCTAATACAGAAATACAAGTCTGATATGACCAAATACAATATTGTTCGAAATAAGGACAACAATACATAAGAAAAGAGACGTCAAGATTGCGGACGAGAATGCAGCTCTACCTCGTCTCTCGATGCAGCTCAATAAGCAACCACGCTACTGCTGACTGGTCCTGACACCTGGATCTGCACAATTAAGTGCAGAGTGTAGCATGAGTACAACCAGTTCAATATACTCAGCAAGTATCATAACTGACCTTGGCGAGGAAAAAGAAGCAACAATTATAAATGATACTAGACATAGCCTGTACAGTTTCACAATTCAACAAGTACAAAATAGTCATGTGATAAAGTCATAAAGCATAGAAAGAATCGTCTGCATGTGTGCACAATTACTCAGGTACTCTGCTCAGTTAAGAATCCGGCATAAAAAGATGATATGCAAATAAATTAGGTAAATAACTACAGAAATTGCAAGTAAAGATGAAATGCAAAATTCAGAACAAACACTGGCCAGATTTTCCTCAATATTCCATATTTGTACCAACTATTAATCAGTTTTCCTCTACTCCGCATGTACACCATCAAGAAGTCACATGAGAGGGTGACCCTAGGAGGGATGGATTCATATGTACACGCATGCACGGCCAATTCAACGTGCTACCAGTCCGACATGGTCACAAGTTCAATATCATAATCCGCCCGACGTGGTCATAGGCCTAACAAAAAAATCCGCCCGGCATAGTCACAGGCATATCAACACAATCCGCCTGGCGTGGTCACAGATATATCAACACAATCCGCCCGAAGACATATCAATACAATCCGTCTGACGTGTTCACGGGCCTCCAGTCCAAACCATATCACACAAAAGAAAATATACATGAACACATATATATATGATGAATAAATATCAGATTTCATGCTCCTGGACTGGTATCAATGACATGCTAAAGTGTAGGCATGTGTAAATTGTGCTATCATAGCTAAAATCAGCAATTTCATCACAAAAATAATAATTATCAAGTTAGTTCGGGGATTTAGCTTCTATGTAACCTCAAACAGGGATCAAATAGTTTACAACAAGGTTACAAATATGAGAAACATCACAACTTAAAGCTTATTAATCATTACAAGGCATATCATAGCCTAAGCACTACCCCGAGTATGGATAAATACCCCGGTGCTCGCACATGGGTTCAACTCCAAACATATGTGCACCCATAGCACGTAGCTATCACAAATAACTCAGGCAACTAGTTCCTCAACCAAGTTTAGGTAAGATACTTATCTCAAGCTAACCAAATCAGTACTTTAAGAAGCCATTCCCTCATAAATCAAACTTTGGACAATCCGAATCTAGTCAGAATAACTTAATACCATCAATAAAAGCCATATGAAGTGATTCCAAAAGATAAACTAAGATCTTTAACTCACTTCAAAAAGTCAACACCGGGCTCTCACCCTGGAACCCGACAAAATTCATAAATTCTTAATACTTATTCAATAACGAGTCCAACCATACCAAAATTATCCAATTCCGATCTCAAAACAACATTCAAATCCTCAATTTATGTTTTAGAAAAGTTTTGCAAAAATCTCCAATTTCTCCAATTTAAATCACTAATTAAATGATAAAAATAAAGATGGAATCATGAATAATGGATAAATCCTAGTCAAAATCACTTACCCCAATCCAAACAGTGAAAATCCCCTCCAAAATCTCCCAAAACTGAGCTCTACAACTCAAAATATGTTAAAATGAACCAAACTCTCGAAATATAGTATTATATCATCTGCCTAGGCATTACCCTTCGCGATTGTGGAAAAGCCTTCGCGATTGCAAAGCACAAAATTCTAGCTACCCAAATCCTCCTTCGCGAACGCGACACTAGAGTTGCAAACGCGATGACCAAACCTCCAATAGCTACACGATCGCGGACCTGACCACGCGATCGTGAAGAACAACCGCGTTCCATCCTCGGACCTCCCTTCTTTCTATGCGAACGCGTCTCTCTACGCGCATTGGTGATGAACAACCACCCCAAGGCTTCGCGAATGCGAAGAGCAAAGACCCACTTTCCAGCAATAATTCTATGCGATTGCGACCTACTCTTCGTGATCGTGATGAAGGAAACCAGAAGCACAGAAATCAGCAGTTCCTCTAAGTCTAAAATGAATATGAGCTCAATCTAAATCATACCCGAGGCCCCTAGGACCCCGTCCAAATATACCAACAAGTCCTAAAACATAATACAAACTTATTCGAAGCCTAAAATCATATCAAACAATACCAAAATCATGAATCGCACCCCAATTCAAGCCTAATAGAGTAATGAACATTTTCAAATTCAAAACTAATGGCGAACAAGACTAAACACCTCGCAATGACCTCAAATTTTGAACATAAGTCATAAATGACACAACGAAACTACTCAAACTCCCGGAACCAAAATCCGAACCCAATATCAATAAGGTCAACTGTCACGACTCAGAATTCCCACCCTCGGGACCGTGATGGCATTCTGCCTACCAACAGAAAAATTACCATTATCATCTCTAGGAAATAATTGCCCATGTTCCAACCTTTCATCCTTGAAACCTAAGTGGCATGAACCNCCTAACATTTTACTTGCTAGGCAAGTCAACGTTAGAAATAGTTTTAGCCATTTTCATAAATCCAAATAAATGATATCAAGAAACTGAATAAACTGAAATAAAACTAAAATAGAGTGAGTAAACCCAAATAACAGCGATGTGTAGATACAATCTCAGAACTGGTGTCAAAAGTGGACAGGCGACTAGAGTATTACAAATAAAAGTCTGAATGAAAATATAACTGTCTAAAATACAGTAAATAGCTAGAAAGATATGAAAGGGGACTTCAGGGCATATGTACCTCAAATCTCCCTAAAGCAATCAATCAGAGCAATCTACTGACCGTCACTAGGGCCGACTCCAAAATCTGCACAAGAAGTGCAAAGTGTAGTAAGAGTACAACCGACCCCATATACTTTATAAGTGCCGAGCCTAACCTTTACGATGTAGTGACGAGGCTAAGGCGGGTCACTAACAATAACATGTACGCAGTATAATAATAATGACAATAGGAAAGGAATGCAGGAAATAACGACAAAGCAGTTAACTGATGAAGACAAACTCAATCCTCGAACACAAAGAAACCAGAATTGTCAGTCCTCAGAATCTCATATGAAAATACTGAAAGTTAACACGATGCAACAATGGGCATAACACACACAATCCATTGTAGCACGCAAACCGATCCCACCATGTCAATATCAATCCTCCCTTATTTCACTCGTTGTACCGTGCAACCCGATCCATAAACAAAATCAATATATATAATCAATGCAACAACTCAATTCACAAGAATTTCTACGATTAAAGAATATAAAAGCAAAGCAATAAGGAACCCTGTACCAAATCAAGGAATGCTACAAATAAAACAAAGCAACAAGACAAGCCAAATATGTGACAGTTAAAGCCTACAAGTAAGATAATTAAGACAAGTAGCAATTAATCATGGAATCATGGAAGAAACAAACATTTCAATATAAGAGTAATAAGTGAGAAGTAACAAGTTAATTCATAGGAAGCAATTAATGCATGTGATAGTTAAGACATGAAATAAAATAATTAATAAAATACGGGAAAGCACGGAAACAATTATTGTGACAGCATATATACACTCGTCACCTCGCATATACACCGCTACACATGTAATTCACATAACACATAGTTCAAGGGTTCTTAGTTCCCTCAAATCAAGGTTAGACCCACCACTTACCTCGCTCCGCAATCAAATCAAAGTTCAACCGGGGCCTTTCCACTAGAATTCGCCTCTAAACTAATCAAATCTAACCAAAATCGACTTA